ATTTCACCACAGCCGGTTTTAAGGATATGTCACATTGCTGGCAGGAAATAAAAGACTCCCAGACACTGACCAAGTGGAACAACAAACTTACAAAATGGAAAATATCAGGTGTGAGTGATTTAAATAACCTGAGTCCTTATTATGTGTTTAACTAGCCTTGTGAATTTCGAAGTTCTCTCATGATCAGACCAGAAATTAGAAATTTTCTCAGTTTCATACTTTTAAATTGTTGGATTAATTGAAGAAAATATCCCAAAAGTGGAGGAAATAATGATAATTTATCAATATTTATTGTTATCATATATCTTTAATATATAATTTAATTTAAACTCCATTCAGAAACCTATTTCTGCTCTAAAAATGTTGTTTTAACCCAATTACATAAATATCACTGCTCTGCTAAATCATCATCATCTATTGAACTAGTACGAATACTTTTTATTTTCAAATATAAAAGTGAAAACTAATTTATATTGCCCAAACAGGATGAAACCAAATGTTATCCTAATGTTTTGTGTTTCCATGCTAACTTGGCCAAAATTGTCTCCATCTGTCTCTGGGTGTGGCAGATTATAAGGAAATACACCCCTAATTTCAGGAAGCAAAATCTATCCTCTTAAGGAGAGTTTTTACACAAATGTTTAAGTGTGTGTTGTATTTTTGTCACATTACTGGCAGGAAATAAAAGACTCCCAGACACTGACCAAGTGGAACAACAAACTCACAAAATGGAAAAAATCAGGTGTGACTGATTTAAATGACTTGAGTCGTTATAATGTGTTTAACTAGCCTTCTGAATTTCAAAGTTCTCTCATGATCAGACCAGAAAGGAGTGATTTTCTCAGTCTCATATTTTTAAACATTGGATTAATTAAATAAAATGTCCCAAAATGTGGTCCTCATTAATTGTCTTTAAGGTCTTATTTGCTTACACAAAAGCTTGCTAAAGATGAGATACATTTTTTTTACGATTTTGCTAAAGGTCCTTCAGTTAGACAACACTAGTCAAATAAGTAATGTGTCATGACACTAATGTTAATGTTTTATTAACTAACAGCAAAAAATAGTTTTAAGTTTATGTCATCTTCATTACCTACGATATTATCTTTAGCTGCTTCAAAACAAAAAATTAGATAAAGCGATAAACCACAATAGTCGTGCATTCCACTTCTGACATTAGTCCCTCCTTTAAACCGATTCTTCCCTGTGGCACATTTCAGTGCTGGCTTGACAAAAGCCAGCATTGAAATGGACCAAATTGTAAAAAAAAAAAAACTCCTGTGAAAACTGGTTGCTGGGAAAACACAGCTACCTCTTGTTGAAGCATTACTGTCAATTATAGTTAATCCTCTGTGCTCTGGTGTCTTCTGAGGCCGGTGGGCGATGTAAAATGCATCAGGCCACAGTACTTTTTTTTTTTCAGTTTCACAAAGTGGAACCCAACGTGCAGGGCTCAGAGGTTATGTCAAGGTAAATGTGCAGATGGAGTGAGCTCGACTTTTGACGCAAGTTTGACATGAAAATCAGAATGTTTTGTGAAGTGAGTAAGGTTCAACTGAAGGGACACAAAAGACAAAAAAAAGCCAAGGTTGTGTTTTTTTTCTTTTTTTTCCCCTGATGACATTAGACACCATTATCTGCTCCCAAGGACAAACACAGTGATTTTTTCCACAAAACATCACCTTTACGATATTTTGGTTAAAGTGGTTAGGAGATTTATGGACAGCAAACAACGGCTTGTGCAAATGCGCAAAGAACCACATTCAAGATTTTTAGATTAAAGGGGCGTTGTAGCGCCCGCACAGCTGTGGACACACGGGCCGCCAAACCTCATTTGAATTAAGACCAAACGTACAGCAAAAAAAACACTTAGTCAGCATATAAGTGATTAGAATTTTGAAGTCAAGCTACTGTGTTTTGAAGAAGAATTGTGTTCGAACAAAATAAGACTGCCTCTTTAAATGACCTGGACCGGGGCTGCAGGTGGATTAGCTAAACAAGAAGCACTTGGGAACAATACAATGGCCTATTCTCAGTCACTGTAATCCTTGTAGGTATTGCAAGCACTTTCATATGACTCTGCAGAGAAAAGGCTAATACAAGCACCTCTCCGAAGAAGGTTTTTTGCCACTGATAAAAAACACAAATGTCAACTGTAAGTAGCTTTTATTAACGGTTTTCTATCATTATTTCCGCTGTGTTTCTTGTTTTGTCTAAACATTCAAACTGCAGCTTGAGGGGAAAAGTGATAGCGCGCTCGGACGAGGCAGCACCCTCTCAAGGCTAGTGTCTTCAACAATTTTTAGTTACACCTATCGAAAAAAGTATTAGAGGCCAGGTGTTTCTGATTTACCACCATGGTGCTCCTGGATTTATTCCAGGGCTGCTGCTTTATTTAAAAAAGATTGAAAAAGAAGTTCAGCTTGTTTCTTACTTTCATAAATATTCATTGTATTCTGCAAACCTAATGACTGTACCGAAATATTAGTGTTTCTGTTGTCATTCAAATAGCCATTAATGGAGGCCGGCCTTGCTAAACGCAAATTAAAGAGGTTTATGGAGAACGGAGTTCTATTTTTTCCCCTCATTGCTGCTTTTTCCCCTTTTCTACCTAACCAATCATTTTTCATCAGCTCGTACACATATATGCTGTACACCGTGTCAGTATTTTCACCAATCATTAACATCTGCGTCAAAGAATGAACCCAATGTTCTCAGACAGGTCTAAAATACACTGTGGGCTTTATTTTTTTTATTATGGTCCCCTCCAACCTCTTGTGATTGGATGCTCCTGGCTCAACAGAAAACTGTAAGGGGATTTTTTTTGGGGGGGGGTCATTTTGCTGTTGAGAAACCAGAAGAAGAAAACATGTAGTGTTGTTTAAAAGAATAAATAATGTTATCGCAACACTTGGTTGAGCTCTTTCTGGCCAGGTGGTCGGTACACGCTGTGATGCTCCCTTCGGTGACTTAAATATATGAACATATATATGGGAGCTTTTGCTCTCTTTTTCTCTTTCTTTTTTTCTTCTCTGGCAGATAAATGTCCGAGTTACAACCATGGATGCAGAGCTGGAGTTTGCAATCCTTCCCAGCACGACTGGCAAACAGCTTTTCGACCAGGTTCGTTGTCCTATGAAAGTCAAGCACAGACTTTTTTTTCTAAACTGCGGTTGTGATTCTCGATTGATTGCGTTTAGGTAGTGAAGACGATCGGTCTGAGAGAAACCTGGTTCTTTGGCCTCCAGTATCAGGACAGCAAAAGCTTCTCCACCTGGCTCAAGCTTAATAAGAGGGTGAGGTGAAAGTTTGCACAGCGACTTTAAATCCCTTGGTGACTTCCTTTAATTTCCAAGAAATACTGTTTGTAGTTGCGATTATGGTATTTTCCTAATGCTACGGTTTCACCCCCGTTGAGGCTAATTAAGGTCTATTTATTCATTCCTGCATTCCCCTGCTCTTGGGTATTAATCCCAGGTGACAGCTCAAGATGTGAAGAGGGACAACCCTTTGTTGATTAAGTTCAGGGCAAAGTTCTACCCTGAGGATGTCGCAGACGAACTGATCCAGGAGGCGACACAGCGTCTCTTCTTTCTCCAGGTTTGGAAATAAGAAATAAGAGGACACCTGTTTACTGACTTAATGCTCAAAGTTATTGTCGCAGTAAAGATAATTTGAAGAAAACTACTGTCGAAATGCATAAGGCATGCTATGCAATAGACAGATTGCTTAATAAGGAATCTCAATCAAAACAAAATGTTGAACTGGTCCTAATGACCAGTGGGGGTTTCATGATGACTCACGCAGATTTGCTGAGCACTCATGGGTTTTGCATTGGGGAAGGCACAAAAATTAGGTCCAACAGCAAGAGGTAAACACCAGAAGGTACAAGGTTTCTCCCTTTTAACACTGCTTTTTTTTGTTTTGTACTTTTGCACAAGCTTGTTTTCTGTTTTAGGTGAAAGAGAGCATCCTAAACGATGACATATACTGTCCACCTGAGACTGCAGTGCTCTTGGCCTCGTACGCCGTTCAGGTCAAACTCGGAGACTACAGAAAAGATTATCATGTCCCGGGATACCTCACAAAAGAGAAGCTGCTGCCACAGAGGTAGAGCATCCCGTGAATATAAGCATTAACCGAAGTTCACCGTAATTCTACTTTCACTCCCCTGAATTCCAATTGGTTTGTCCTCTTTACTGATAAAACCAGGGTTTTGGAGCAGCATAAGCTGAATAAGAATCAGTGGGAGGAAAGAATCCAGGTGTGGCATGAAGAGCACAAGGGAATGCTGAGGTGCTAAAGTATTACTATGAAAAGCCTTCACGTCCCTCTGGCATAAACCTGTTGTATCTCATGGAACCATATCTCCCCACAGAGAAGACGCAATGGTGGAGTATCTGAAGATAGCCCAAGACCTGGAGATGTACGGGGTCAACTACTTCAACATTAAGAACAAGAAAGGGTCCGAGCTGTGGCTGGGAGTGGATGCACTGGGGCTAAACATCTATGACAAAAAAGACAAGTAGGTCGCAGCACGAATATTTAAATGTCTCTGATAGGTTTTGGAAAATCACAGCCCACTTATCTGGATGTATTGTATTGTATAGATAACTGTTGTTGTGAGTTTGCGTTATATAAATAAGTTTGAATTTATTTGAATTGCTATTAAGTTTAGACAGACAGTTATGGTCCCCACGATAATCCTAACATTTAGCTGGTTCCTAACTTTGTTTATTCCAGCGTGACCTTTGGAATTTAGATAACTTCAGTTATTCTATTTATAGATGTATGTTCATATAAAAAGTTTATGAAAAGGAAATTTATGCTCTTATTCAGTCTTAGGTTTTTTCGGGGGGGTAAGTGAACTTAATAGGTCTTAGAGGTGTTCATAGCTGCTGCTGTCCAATATGACCAAACCTCTTTGGTCTCATCTGTCTTGAGAAATTGCTCCAGAAATAATCTGATTGGTTTGGATAAAACTTTACAAATTTCTGTTGTGTTGCTATGTTGCTTTGACGGAGAAGAGGCTATTGTTTTAGCCCAGCCATGATTATTGCAATATGCAATATTTTAATATCCATTTGTCATAAACTTGGATTCCAGACCCCACACTGTTACTAGATTCTGCTTACTTTTTGTTGAATACTTAACAACGCATGTTTCGTGTTGTTACTCATAGGGAATTATTCCAACAGCTGCAGTGGACCAGAGGAGGTTTTTTATTTGTTTCTGATTGGTAAAATCTTAGAATGGGAAAAGGTCATAAATTCTGTATGTTTTTGTTCATGCTGACAAATTCTGTCAAACAATTTTTTTTATGTTTTATTGCTACTCATGCTGCATGCCTGGATGATGATGGCTGTATTTATTGCTTCAGCCCCACTAAGCTGCTAAATTGGCAGCTCTCATTCTTGACCTATCTAATATTTTCGGATTGCTAACATATGTGAAATGCCCCATACTGAAAGGGTGAAACACACTACTGTGTCCATAGGATGACCCCAAAGATCGGTTTTCCCTGGAGTGAGATCAGAAACATCTCCTTCAATGACAAGAAATTTCTCATCAAGCCAATCGACAAGAAAGCTCCGGTATGCAAAAACACACATTCTGTTCAGGATTTTCTCCATAAACAACAGTTAATGCTCAGGCTATGTAAAAAGGTAGTTCATTTTGTACAACTCAGTTGTATGTTGAACCAGCAGCTTATCTTGACTTAACTGTTCATGAATGGTTGTGGATTAGGCAGCTGCCTTCCTTCATCAGGTTTGAGCACTCCTGGTTTTTCTATTGATATTTTTTCTATTTTAATCAAGCCACTTTCACAGCTACTTTCAAGGCTATTCCAGTAAATTTCCAAAGAAATGCATATGACATACACATTTTTCCAAACTCATTTGTCATTGGTGAAGTGATCAGATTTGCAAATTACACAGGTTTTTGTTTCTCTCAGGAAAATAATTTCAGAAGTTCAGCTTAGCCTCTGAGTCCTTGCCCAGAGTGAAGCAAAGCATCCAAGAATCTGGAAAAGATTATTAAATCGACCAAAACAAATAGAATCCCTTAGTTTATTTTGACCTGTCCAAACGATAGCGAAAAAATACAGATCTATGTCACTGATGGCTGTTTTTGTTTGCTCCAGGACTTTGTTTTCTATGTACCCCGTCTCCGCATCAACAAGCGTATCCTGGCATTGTGCATGGGGAACCATGACCTGTACATGCGCAGACGCAAACCCGACACCATCGAGGTGCAGCAGATGAAGGCACAGGCCAGGGAGGAGAAGAACAAGAGGCAAATGGAGAGGTGCAGAAGAGGGAAATAATAGCGGCTTATTTTTCTTTACAGTTTACACTGTGTTCTCTCTGCTTTATAAAGAAGTGTCAGGAGATAACCATTTGTACGTGTGTGTGTGTGTGTGTTTGTATGTGTGTCTATTTATGCACAATTCTCCTTGTCAGGGCTCTGCTCGAGAGTGAGAAAAAAAAGCGAGAATTTGCCGAGAAGGAAACAGAGAAGATTGCTCGTGAGACCATGGAGCTGATGGAGAGATTGAGACAGATTGAGGAACAGACAAAGAGAGCTCAGGATGGTCTGACAACTTTCTGAATAGTTTTTCTTAAGTACAGCTTTGTCTTTTTGTTTTTTTCTTTATTATTAAAGAACATTAAAAGAATGGCTTGATATATTAGAACACTTTTTATTTCACAAGGGGCTTGTTCAGATGGGTACACGGAAAATGTTTTGTGCACTTGTAAATTATTTTTTCCTGCTTTTTTTTGTCATTTCAGAGCTGGAGGAGCAGACTCGCAGAGCGCTCGAGCTGGAGAGGGAGAGAACAATTGCTCAGGAGGAGGCTGAGCTTCTGGACAAGGACCGCAAAGCTGCAGTGGAGGCGAAAGCAGCCCTGCTGCACCATTCCGAAACCCAGACAAAGAACCAGGAAACCCTGGTACTGAAACACAAAAAACCTTTCACTGTGATACATTTTCACCTGGACGGATTCAGTGGATTCCCCTCCAAAGCTGAAATCCCGGAAAAAGATCCAAAAGATAAACAATATGGGTGGCGAGACGCCAACCTGAGCACTGATGCCGCATGTATACAAGCCTCACGAGTGCAGACAAGGACACGCGTATACGCTCGTTGTCTCTTGCACACTTCACACACACACAGAGCACCATGACCTGACATCAGAAGCACTCTTAACTCTCTTTCTATTTGTGTGCATGGTTGTGCAGGCCACTGAGCTGGCAGAGCTTACCACTAAGATATCTCAGCTGGAGGACGCCAAGAAGAAGAAGGATGAGGAGGCGAAGCGATGGCAAAATAGGGTGAGAGAACTTTGAGAACCATGAGAGGGATAAAGGATGAATCAAACATCAACAAAGAGGGATGTCAGGCAAGAAGTCATTTGTTTAAGACATGTATATTTGGAATGATTTGAATTCATGTCCCTACAGTATTATACTTAGTATAACAAACCTCAGCCACTAGACACCATTGTTGACCAAAGGAAAGCATTAAATTTGAATTCAAATTTCACTTAGGGGTTATGTAAAACTGTGTGCAAAAACAAATGAGTTTGCAAATAAGAAATGCTACCCTCAAGTTGTAAGAAGTGCTGCAGTGTTGTGATTTCTACACTGTAATGACATTGGAGACAGCAGCACTTACTGAGCCCTTTGATTCCTGCCTCTTTCATTTGCCCGACGACTTTCTCGAACAAGAGAAAAATCACAGATTATAAATTTAAAAGGTGTCATCAAGGTTTCATAAACTGTTAAAAAAAGTTTTTGAAAAATCCAAGTTCAAGTCCCCGTATTACTGAGCGTCACCAAAAAGATCGTCAAGTTTAGCTGTTTCCCAAAGAGGAAAACTGTGGTCTATCTCATTTTTTGGAGTTCATCATCCAGTGGACTTGTCTAAACTTATAAAATCCAACCACAGCACTTCAGTGCGAGTCATGTGTGTTGACAGGCGGTTATGGCAGAGGCTGATTTGGACCGAACCAAAGAGGAGCTGAAGACTAAACTAATGGGTGTCCACATCCAGAATTCAGTCCACACTCACATGCACGAGCACGACGAGACGGACGAGAGCAGCGCCGAGGCAAGCGCCGAGCTGACGTCCCCAGGCATGGTCCGGGATCGCAGCGAGGAGGAGAGGGTGACGGAGGCGCAGAAGAACAAGAGGCTGCAGAAAAACCTCAAGGTGAGATTTGGCGGTCGTGGACTGAAGCTCTCAGGCTGAATCTTCAAACTATGGAGGTAGTGGGTGAGTCGCCAGAGGCAAAAGAGGATAATTTTACTCCATCTTTTGGTTTAATGTTCGTTTCACCAGGGTGCTTGAGATGGGCTGCGAGGTGGTGTGGCCGTTAGCACTTTCGTCTGAGAGCAAGCGGGTTCCCAGTCTGAATAACAGGCGGCCTAAATGTATAGAGTTTGTTCTACCCATGTGGTTTAATCTTTGGGTACTCCCACTTCCTCCCACAGTCCAAAAACATGCATGATAGGTGAACTGATTATGCTAAGTTGCCTTTAGGTGGCAATGTGATTGTCTGTGGCTCTGTGACATGCCCAGGGTTAGTTGTCTCCCTCAGTGTTTTTACTAGGTACTAGGTGCCTGTTTGTTGCCATCCAGGGTTTTGACTCTCAAATATTGGCTTCAGCACGACTAAGTGCACTCAGCCTAATTAAAAATTGTTGCACTGGTATATTTTTAATGTTTGGGGTTTCATTCGAGGTGACAATCTCACCCGCCGCCTGTATCACAGCCAGAGCAAGATGCCATGTTTTTATGTGTGATTCAGCATAAAAATGGACTTAATCAGTAATGGAGTGTTTTCAAGATGGAACTGATGGTGGGGAGTATAACGGGAGAGGGGTAAGGCTTCTGATTAGTCTCCCGGCCTCAGGTGAGAGGATTCTATTCTGTTCTGTTCTCTTTCAGTTCCTGAGCACCGAGCTGGCCGGAGCTGTAGATGAGAGCAAAAAGACCCCGAATGACCTGATCCACGCTGAGAACGTGAAAGCAGGCCGCGACAAATACAAGACTCTGCGTCAGATCCGCCAGGGCAACACTAAACAGCGCATAGATGAATTTGAGTCCATGTGAGATGCTCTTCTGTCTGCCTGCTCAGTTCAGGAAAGAAGTGCAATTTTAGAAGAGTAGGTGCAGATTATAGCTAAAGTATTTCACCCAAGGTACCTGGATTTGCCAACAAATTATAATATATATATCATATACTATACACTGCAGGGTTTTTCTTTAATGTTTTTGATTTTAATGTATTTTCCTTTCAAGAAGACTTCAGTGTGAAAATAATTAATGTCCTGAGAAATAGGGATACATTTTAGAGGGGACAGGAAACAAGACAAGCATCCAGTGTCCAGTCCAGAGATGAAGACCTAGGTGTTAAAGATAAATTTTTGTTTCCCTCATTTTGTCTGTACTCTAAATGTCTGATTACAACCAACAGCTATTCTGAAATGCTGTTTGGACTGTCTGATGTAGCGGTGTTCAAGGCAAGTGTTGTTATTCGAAGTAAAGATAATTCTATGTCTTATCGCAGAAATAAAATCCAGAAAACCTCAAACACCACGCTCCGCATTGCTTTTCTGTAGGAACGAGCGTCAGTTTTCATGTACCTAACAGTAATCCACGGCTTAATATTCAATGACAGCGCACGTATGTCTTCTCCCTCCGCTCATGAAAGTAAGAGTAGTCATAGTAGTAGTCTGTTGAATTGCAGGTATTCTTCTTAATCTTATTTATTCTTGACAAACATACCTGTGGTTTATTTCCTTTAAACTGTTCAAACTATCTATTTGTTGACTACAGGTTTTTTATTTTGGTGCAGGCACATCCCACGTGTCTATGACGACAACCAGCAGAAGACTTCACTGATCAGTCAACTTTGGCGTTATTTAACGCCCTTGTGTTTATTTAGCTTTTATATTACAACTGCAACACAAATAAAGCCAGACTGTAGTAAAATTAATCAAAATATTAAACGTGGAGAACTTCTGATAGTCTTTAGGCAAGGGCCGCAACACTACGCAGAGAGGAGTGATATTAAGTGGATTAAGTGCCTAATCGTTGCTATTCTCGCGAGACCCCTTCACTTAAAACGTTCAAATAGCAGGAGCCGACCCGTTAGCTCTTCCCATTGACATCATAAGTTTCATTTGGATTACTGTTCACCGTGTAAAGCGGGGCAACGTTGCCAACTAGAGTTCAAAGTCCTCCGTCATACTCGGAGTTAAACTTGGTCGCGTGTGCGTAGCCTCGGAGCACCGGTGCTAATTATGGTTACTTTGTAAGAAAAGAAGAAAAAAGGAAAAACAACCCAACAAAAAAAAAAGTTCAACAGCAGTTTCATTTGCGGAGCAGATCGACGGGACGTCCCTTTTTCTCTTCGGCGACGTCGTCGGTAGATCTAAGTTCCCGCTGAGACGCATGACTGGAGTCTCATTGGGTAGGCGTTTTCTCCCCGGCGGAGAGTGTTTTGTTTGCTCTCTCCGTGCTCTCGCGCACTGCCTCAACTCCCAAGGACGCGAGCTGAAGATGGCCTTTCGCGCGAGCTTGCCCGAGAGAGAAGGGACGTCGAACTCTCTCGCAATGACGGAGCGGGACCGCCTGGACGCTAGTGACCCGTACGCGTGCCCGACCACCGAGCTCAGCAAAGCCGTGTCCGTGTCTCTGGGCTTAGACTCGGTGGCGTCCCCGCTCCATATCGCGAGCCAGTGCCACGGCGGTGGTGGTGCGTTCGCGGACTGCGACCCGACCGGCGGCGGAAATAGTTCGCGAGGAGCGCCCGAGTTGGGAACGCCCGGGAGTCTTAGCTCGGAGGGAGGCAGGCTCGTCCCGGCGGGCTCCAGTCCCCGAGAGGACGACGGCGACTTCGGAGAGGTGTGCTACGGCTTGCGGCAGGTGAGCTGCATGGATCTGTTCCGCCCGGACGGCGCGCGCTCCGTGACGCGCGGCTCGGTGATCTCCAGATTCGTCTGCAGGGAGTCGAACGCCTTCGCGAGCCCCTCGGCGGAGCTCCCCGCGGCCGGGGTCGAGCCTCTGAACCCGTACTCCGCCTACGGCGCCTGCCCGGGTCCCTACAGGGATGTCCAGGGCGCGTGGTGCGCCAACGAGCGCGCGGCGTTCGGCGAGCGAGCCGGGCCGCACAGAGGCGGGTCCGAGGAGCACGGCTTCTCGTGCAAGTACTGTAACTGTGGGCCAACGGCTCACGGATCCAGGCGCGCGTGCAGCTGCGCGTGGTTCAGGAGAGGTGAGCGGGGTGGGAAAGGTGTCCTGCAGGCGCAGGCGTACGGCCAAGTGGAAAGTTACCCAGACGCGGTTCGTCAAGGGCAAACCACTTTTTCCAGCATCAAGAGCGAACCTTCGGTTTGGGTGGACTACTCAGACCGCGCTTTCAGGTAATTAACCAATTTTGACGGCTTGTTCCAGCTTGTTTTACGCTCTCTTTTCCCCCCCTCTCTCTCTCTCTTTATCTCTCGCTCCCTGCGTAAAACTGGGACTATCCCGTAACTTAAAGTCTTTCTCTGCTGTGAGTCCCGCATATCTGTGTCTAATCTGAAACAAAAGAGCAATCCCAGCGTGAACAGCGTCTAATGATCATGCTTCAGCACACCAAAGCCTCACAGTTAGGAGTTCTCTATTGTTAGCACCAGTTATGACTGAGCGTGCACTGTCAGATTTAATATTCTGGCCTTTGGTTGCACGTCAGCGCTTGTAAATCACCACACACACACACACACAAAAAAAAAAAAGATTATTATGTATTGTAAGATGCCAGGCCCGGGTTGATACATAGTAGATTCCCCCCCTGCTGCAGAGATAGCCCTGCAACAGGCTGAATGACTTGAGCTTTAACGGCCCCCTTGTGCTCCTTTTGGCCTTGGCCAAGTTGTGTTTCAACATGCAGCCAGAGTGAACCAAAGTTCACCCAATCCCCAAGTTTCCACAAACGTCCTTATTTGTGCTGTGGCTATAGCCGCGCATGGGACGGCCAGACGTGGAGTTAATGTATCAGTGGGGCTGTAAACAAGAGATACAGCACCTGCTGCTGAATCTGGGCTCCGAGCAGAGGCAAATGTTTTGTCAGGAGTTACTCGTTTCTTTAAAAAAAATAAAGAAATTAAGTCAAACTTGGTCTACCTAGGAGGTGACTTTCCTTCTTAAGTAATCGCTCATGAAGTGGGGTAAATACTCAATATGTAATACAACTGAATTTAGGGAAGTAATGCGGGAAAGAACTGTTGATCCAAATCTGTTAATGTGCCTGTTTTACTAGGTGCTTTAATGCTTTTATTTTTTATTTTTTTGCTTTCTTTACGCCAGTATCCAGGCTGGGAGAGGTTGAGCTGCTTTTTAAATTGATCATCTTCTCATTCCTTTATGAAGCGTCACCGTTGCGTGTTTGTGTGCGTGTGTGTGCAGGCATGAGGATTTCTTTCCTGGCGTCTACCTGTCAGACAGAAGGGTGTGTCAGGTGTGTGGGGACGATGCTTCGGGTTGTCACTATGGAGCAGTCACGTGCGGCAGCTGCAAAGTGTTCTTCAAGAGGGCCGCTGCAGGTGGATGAAACGCACACCCACACCAACACACACACACACACACACCTCATTCATCCCAGATGCGCGCAGTTTATCCGTCCCGCTGATTTCATTTCTTACACCCACTTGCTCTCTCATGCCAACGGGGCACAATGACCTGACATTACAGGGGCAAGTTATTTGCTATCAGTAAACACCCACGTGGCGTAGATTCTGGGTAATTGTTGAGCACTCATCCTCCAGGACGTGTGTGTGTGTCTGTGTGTGTGTGTGTGTGTGTGTGCCTCCAGGTAAGCAGAACCACCTGTGCGCCAGCCGGAACGACTGCACCATCGACAAGCTGAGGCGGAAAAACTGCGCCTCGTGCCGCCTGAAGAGATGCTTCATGTCCGGAATGAGCCTGAAAGGTGCGGAACAGAGGGAGCGACGCAGAGAGAGGAAATAAGGGGGATGGGGGGGGGCAGATACCTTACAGCCAGCCGATCAGAACTGTTCCAGCTTTAATACAGTGTAACAAAGGCTTTTCAAAAGCAGCTGTTTTATAGTCTCTGGCCAGTGATCAAGAGCCTTTCCACTTAAAGGCAAAGAAAAAGAAACTGCTCAAGGAGAAAAAAAAGAATAGATTAACTTCTTTTTATTGAAATTTTCCTGCTCTAAACCTCTAGACCTTCATTACAAAATGGTTTGTAATGAACCGGTTTGTCCTCTATTCATCTTCCCTCGCATTGGGCCATTTTTCTAGGTCGCAGGCTGAAGGGAGGCGGACAGGCGAGAGGCGGGGAGGAGGAGCAACAGGCCGCCGGCTGGGGGCATCGAGAGGAGCGAACAGGAAAGAAAGATGTTGTCTTGGAGTCCGGAAATGCAGCTGCCAGGGCCCAAGGTGGTGAGGATTATCCCCGCGCCTGCTCGGGTGTCATGCCGAGTCCACGCCGAAATCAGATACGAGCGTTTTTCTGCCTTTCTTTTTAATCCTCGCCGTTTGTTGCCGCCCTGTTGAACAGGACCCCAAGCCCTGCCTCAAGGCATCCCCCAAACCCTGCGCTCCTGCCTCTCCCTGCTCAGCATCCTGCAGTCCATCGAGCCGGCGGTGGTCAACGCGGGGCACGACCCCGCCCAGCCGGACAGCCCCGCGTCCCTGCTGACCAGCCTCAACGAGCTGGGCGAGCGGCAGCTGGTAACGGTGGTGCGCTGGGCCAAAGTAATACCAGGTAAACCCGTCTGAGGCCAGGCGAGACACCGCACACATTCCTGTTAATGATCCAGATCATCCTGATGCCTCCCTTTCCGGCTCAGGGCACGGCAAAATAATAGGCAGCCAGGTCGCATTTGCCTACCGCACAGTTGCATGCGAGCGCCACAGAAACAGCACAGAAATGTGTCAAACGTTACCAGGGGATATTTCTAGAATCTTCTTTTTTCTTTTTTCTTTTTTTTTTCTTTTCGTGCCGGGCAAGGCCTCAAGATCTTGGTCAAAAGATAAGAAATGTTTCCCAGAATTCTTTGCCAGTGGGACACCGAGGCCCGCGGGCTGACCTGTTCAGGTATCTACCACTAGAGGGGGGTATGTTCATGTTTAAGTCACAGAGTGGAGCAGGGGGCCGACAGCATCGTCCACCACTCTGCCGCCTATTTTTCTGTTTTCCACTTTGGACAAGTTAACCTGAAATGGGTTAGCCGATCAAGGTTTATCTCTGAAACGGGAAGGGCTCGCCGGGTAAAGACTGTATGTTTATATTTGAGCGCGTTTGATAAGGAAAGGTGCGTTTTTTTTCAGGGTTCCGTGACCTGCACGTGGACGACCAGATGTCAGTGATCCAGTTGTCGTGGATGGGGGTGATGGTGTTCGCTCTGGGCTGGAGGTCTTACACCTTGACGAACTGCTCCATGCTCTACTTCGCCCCGGACCTGGTCTTCAACGAGTAAGTGGCTAGAATCCCGTTTTTTTTTTTTTTCTCCTCTTTCTTTCTCCTCTTGTTAGAGAGAGTCAAGCGCAAGAAGTTTTCAGAAGAAACTCCAGTCGATAGAAGTTTCACAGACGTCGCCGCGGCGTCTTCGCCAGACAAAAAGAAAGTTTCTTTGGGCGTAATCAGCCATAATAGCGGCTGCGGCTGGGGGTTTGTGGGAGCGCCGCGAGGATTCACCTGTCACCGTCACCAGAAAGAAAGGCCCAGCGGAATACAAGCTTCAGAGGAAGGCTGACTAATCACACGATAAGCGTCTCTTTTTAGGCGAGACGGTAAACAAGCGTGTTCTGTTCTCGGCACTTCCCCTGCGTCTGATACGCGTGGCCGCAGAGGGATCACCTCAGATCATTTATTCCATTTCATCTTCACAAAACCAGCCGGCTCCGTGATAGATCTTTTTATTGTTTTATTTGGTTTTTGTTTTGTTACTTTACCTCGATAAGTTGCGATTGGCGCCGCAACCTTCCAGCCTCCGTCAGAACACGTCTCTCTCCTCTTCGCTTTGTACTTTCAAGAACTTAGCTCGGGATGGCGGCGCGTCGGCGTCTGCGAGTCGGCCAAAAGGGGTGTGGGGGTGTGGGTGGGGGGGGAGTGCCTCTAACAGGGCTGCAGCCGGTCGCAGGCCCTCAGTGCCGCTCTCAATTTTCTGCTGTTTTGTGCAACATTAGCAAAACGGTCATTCTCCCTGCATCAGACCTCTGTCACTCCGCGGGGCTGCTCCTGACCCCAGCCGTAATGGATACGCCTGCCCTCCTCGCTGACCCTCATTTCTCTCTGCCTCTCCGTCGTTCTCTTTTTCCATTATCCACCTAACTCATTTTGCTCTCACCCCTGCTGCTTTTTCTTCCTTCCTCTCCGCTCTCATCTCTGCAACCATTAATTGTCTTCCTCCTTTCTATTTTGCACTTTGTGTGACCATCTCCTGGCTTCACACGTCTTCCTTTTGTGGCACCCTCTGCTCCCCTCTTCTCCCCCCTAATGCGGTTTCTTTCTTCCTGTTTATTTCCTTTTTCACAGCCAGAGGATGCAAGTATCCAGCATGTATGAGCACTGCGTGAGGATGAAGCTCCTGGCCCAAAGGTTCTGCAAGCTGGAGGTGACCGAGGAGGAGTTCCTCTGCATGAAAGCCCTCGTCCTCTTCAGCATCAGTGAGTCAGCCGGCGCCGTTTCTTAACATTAGCCTAACATCGCCTCCGTGGAGCGAAACGCGCTCAGGAAGGACTCAGGAGAGACGAGGGGGGACGGATGAAGGCTGAGAGTTACCGCTGTGTTCTGGCTTTTGCGGTCCTAGTACCGGTGGAGGGTCTGAAGAGCCAGCGGTGTTTTGACGAACTGCGGACCTCCTACATCAAGGAGCTGGACCGCTTGGCCAGCCACCGCGGAGAGACCACCCGCACGCAGAGGCTGTTTCAGCTCACGCAGCTGTTGGACTACCTCCAGACGGTAATTCTCCAGACTCCATTTCACAAACGAGAGCTTCCATCCCCCCCCCCCCCACTTCCAAAAAAAATCGTCTCGGGGCTGTTGCGTAAGTGTCGTCGTGGCCTCTGTCGCCGACCTCACCAGAAAGCAATGCGGATCTGAGTCTGCCTCCCAACACACACAAACTATCTTATTCCCAGCCCGGGAGCGTCTTCTCGATGTGAGCTAACCACGCTGCATCGCCTGAGCAGTGCCCGCCATTCCTTGTAGTCTTTTTCATTAAAGCAGGACAGGTTCTTTAGCTTTCTTTCTTTTTCTCTGAAGTTTTCTAGGAATTGTTAGAAGGTGCTGTGAATGTTTGATCCTCTCTGCAGTGGCTCCATCTGCTGGCAGCTCTTTTTTTTCCTTCCTTTTAAAAAAAAAAAAAATTCAGCCGTGACACTTAAACCCCCAAAAAGTTTTTTTTTTTTTTTTTTTTTTTAGTTTGTTTGTTTTGTCATTATATGACATCCTATCAGCTTTTAAACTGCACAAGAGGAGAGAGGGGAGGGTTCGGACCTGATTTTATTCACTACAGAAGTAAATAAAAAAGAAAGCAAAAAAAAATATATAAAGGCCAGCTTGATTGACTTTGTGCCGTATTTAAACGTCTGAGCTATAAAACTGTGAAATAACACTATCTGCAGTTTTATTGGCCAGCTACGGATAGTTAACCCTCGCCCGGGGACTCATAATTAAGCCTCATCAGCCTTAAAAGAGCTTTAAAAGAACGATAACACCAAACAATTGCTGCTTAAAAACCATGAGGCAAATCGCGTTTTTCATGATCTACGCCCAGTCTGATTTGTCTGTTTTTTGTTTTGGTTTTTTCGATGTTTGAATAGGAATGATGCATGAAAAACACACAAGCTGTGCTTCCACTCATGTATTACACCATTAGAGGGTCATAGTTCATGTTGTTTCACCATCCGTCTACCGTATCTTTTTTTTTTTTTCCCAGTCAGACATCTGAGTACATACGCAGCCAAGATAAATAACATCAGGGAAACCTGGAATAAATCACACAGTCTGAGAGCCCGTCTAACGCACCGACACGTCTGCCGGGGGGTATCCGTCCTCGTCCTGTACGCCGTGACGTTTTCAGAGAGCCCGAAAACGTGATCACGCTTGCACAGTAACGCTTAACTCTCGCTTTTGTGGCTTTCCACAGTTTTATTTCTTAATCTGACTGGAAAAATATAACGCGTCTTTTGAGTTCAGACGGACAGAACCAGGTCGATTGAGGCTTTGCGCGTGATCACCCAAGACAGAGTGGCAAAGCAGTCATTTCGGCACACACTCGGGGGCTTTATGAAGGAGTATATGCCTCATTAATGGATGGTTCTCAGCAGGTTTTTTGACCACAAGAGGGTGTAGATCAACCACTTTCCTCCATGAGCAGTTTAATGACTCCAGAAAAGAAAAAAAAAGATTTAGTGTCAGTGGGAAAAACCCAGCGACATCACTGCTTGGGGGTGCGGCCAGCCGAGTGAGACACTGTTAAGTCCCCCCCAAACCACCCCCCACCCCCCCGGAGAGAGCAGAACTGCAGCAGTTCGGTCCCCTAAACGCTCAGCCCGGTGCATTATGAGCTGGAGAGCAGCCAGGGATTGCCTGCCAGGGCCCTTCAGGCAGAATACTGGAGTCCAACTTGTCTTTGCATTTCATTTTTTTTTTTTTTGTATCTTTCCGTCCCGGGAGCTTAGAGTGTCAGGTGTTACCTTAAAAAAAACAAAAAAAAAACCCTCCTTCGAGGCTTGTCAAAAGACGGGCTTCATTGTTCTCCGTCAGCCGTCGCCGCAATTAATTCCATCACCGTTGCCCGTGACCTCAATAACATTTATTTCTCTCTCTGTCTTTTTTTTTTTTTGGGCTCTCCCTTTGTCTCAGGTTGTGAGGAAGCTGCACCAGTTCACGTACGATCTGTTCATCCAGGCGCAGTCCCTGCAGATGCGCGTCAGCTTCCCGGAGATGATCTCCGAGATCGTCAGCGTCCACGTGCCCAAGATCCTCTCGGGCATGGTCAAACCCATCCTTTTCCACGACACAGCCTAGACGCAGTCTTTAAAAGCTATGAAAAAACAAACAAAAAAAAACATCCGGCGAAGCAAAAACGGCAAAAAGTTTTGTTTTCCTTGTTTTGTTTTTAAGTAAAAAAAAAAGATAAAAAGAAAAAAAAAATGAGCATCACCGAGGCTGTGAGCGGTCCCTAAGCACGTACTTCCTATGTAATGTTCCATAGTTGCATCCACTCTGCTTTTCCTCGTCCCCAGTGCACCGTATCACGCCCCATCCGATGCTTTTTGGAGCCGCATGCATTCCTCCACACCATCTAAACCCGGTATGTAGCCCGTGTCTTCAGACTGATTAACGTCAGCGAGGAGATAAAGGCTGCAGTGAGAAAAACTTGTTTGCAGAGTTCACATCCCCCACAAGCTTTTCCGTGAGCATTAATATGACATTTGAGCTAGCTTTTACACAATGAATGTTACTGTTTGCACCTGAGGTGGGGAGAAAAAAAAAAAAAAGTGGTTGATTGACAGTTAATAAGCTCTTGTGACTTGCATGCTGTGAGCCAAAGCCTTCCAACCCGAGGGTTATAAAACATTTTTTGAAAGCACGTTACTAAAAAAATAAATAAATAAAGCAAAAAAAAAACAAAAGAGAACAAATGGTTTTATGTGTTGTTAAAATAAACACTTATAAAGTGCAAGTGACTGTATATTTATGAATTTTCCATGTTTAAGAAAAAGAAAGTTACACCAGACAAATTTTTTTGTGTTTCGTTTTGTTTGTTTGTTTTTTTTTTCCTCGAAATGCTCCAGTGATTTCTTTTATTGACTAACAAAGCGAGTGGGTGGCAAAAAACAACTGCTCTATTACAGTTTCTTTTCCTAGGTGGATATTTCATACTGTTGTGCAACTTTTCTACATTTTCTTAAAGGTGTTCTTTGCAAATGCTCTCTTGTGTATCACGCAGTAGCTCGACTGGTTTGCCAAACATGAAGTGTCTAGCCAAGAATCTGCTCATCGTCACATTTACAGCCTGACATGTAATAAAAACGAAATATAAAAGCAGCTTGAGTGTGAATCCGTGTTTTTGAAGTGACGACCTACAGTCAACACACCTTCACTCTTCTGCGGCTAAAAAGAAAGTTAATCCTCTTTCCAATTCAAAGATTTTCTCACATGTTATGACACTGATGAAAAAAGACCCAGGTTGTAGAATTAGGCTCGTACGTATGTCAAAGGAAAAAGAAATATTATGTAACATTTGTGAAGATATACAAGAGGCAGCGTGAGGAATTAGTTTGCTTTGTTTGGTTCTGATAGTGAGGGTGTAGCTTGTAGAACCACCTCCAGCTGCCATAACTCAAAGTTATTGGTTTCTGTTTGATGTTATCTGTCTCACACATAATTGTGAGGGAACTTGGACCCCCCCCCCCCCCCACATGAATATGTCATGCCAGTGCGGTTTGCAGAACTCGTTTATGATTCAGGTGAGTCGTTGCAACACGTTGGTTCTTCTGTATTTCTGCCATCCTGCTGTAGATTCTGTTGCCCGGTGGCATGACCCGCTTTCATTAAAACGACAGCTGCCGGGCAGATGGCAGCATCCTAGTGGTCTCAGTGACTGTGAGGTGTCCAGGCCCTGTGGATGCGAAACAAGCCCAAATGATCAAGCGTGACGGTTGGTACGAGGCGTTTCTTTCTTTTAACCAAATGTAGTGCCTTAAGCATCTGCATCCTTAGACTAAAAGTCCGGCAGTGAGTTACTCAGATGCAGCTTTACGAGGCTAAGCTGTGCTGCTGTGTTGTTTTATTGGGGAAGAAGAGGATTTCTGCAGACACCCCCCCCCCCCAGCCCCCACCCCAAACACCTGTTCAGTCATTTACCAATTTAATTGTTTAACATGCTCACCGTGGCCTGTGGAGACTGAGATGTAGCTGCTGGGGGATCTGTTTGTTTGTTTTGTAATTTACCCTTAGTTTTACTCTGGAAACGTGCAGGATTGGGCAGCAACAGTTTCTTCTCCAACAGTGTTCCTGATGTCTTTGCCTGCTGGCAGATGTCTGAATGCTCCGGATCACCAAACTGACTCTCATTTCTGGTCATTTCTGATTGGTTCATCGGATGCATTTGATCAGCAAAATCTTATTTTTAATTAGTTGTATACACCTTTTACAGGCTGTCTGTGTTTTGGATTAGTCTTTGTGGAATGAGTACTGACCCTACAGTATGTCGTGCGTCAATGTCCATCTGAGGTAGCATTTACTTTGACTTTAAGACCCTGTAAAGCCCAGATTATTTGTTATTTTTATCTTAATTCTTTCAACCCTAGAATTCAAAGGGAATGTGATTCCTTTTTGTTATCCTGTGCGACTGAGACGCTTTCACAGAGCTTGATGGGCTTAGAAATCATAAGGCGGTCTTTGTACAGACACACACAGAAGGGGTTATCACACTTCAAATCCACTTTTGGTGGGATGCTTATTAATTTAATCATTTTACTCAGGAAAAGAGAAATCTGCTCGCTGATGCTGTTTGAGCACCACCTGGTGGTGGCTCTGCTGTTTGCATCAGATTACTGAAACTGGGCATGGGCACTAGGCATAAGTAGGACAACATCTGTTGAAGCCATTGCCATTTCCCTCCTAATGAAATCAGACACAGATTTACGCCATATCTGAGTGAGGTTTACATTAAACGCTGAGAGGGTAAACCACCCGATTTTAGGCAATGTTATACATTGTAGAAATGGAAGAATCTGATTCGGGATTAATTGCAAACTAAACAAAACATAAAGAAGCTCATTTTATTAATGAGGCATTTGATTATAACGTGTGTTTTTAGCAATAATTGCAAATGTAGGCAAAAGGGAAAATTGCAGTTGTAAGTAGACCCAGACAGAAAATCACATTATTTAGAGAGCTGCCTTTTTTTTGGCAACAGTGTGCATTTGAAAGCTCAGTCTATTTAAAAAAGAAACAGGAAAAAAAACAGCCTGGGTAACCTCCACCAGCATTTTGAGTCCCATTTCCTGAACAACCTCTTTCAACAGGTTTTTGTCCCTCTCATAAATGAATTGGAGCTGAACGAAGCCAGGACTGAGAGACATGCTGAAATATCATTTATCTCTAAATATATTCCTTTTGCTGCACAAATGCCCCTGTGGCTTCCCTTAAAAGGAGTGGCGTCCTGGAGGCTTGCAAAGATCAAAAATGGATGCGTCCATGTCGACATTTGAACTTAGTTTAGATTCCATTTGATTTCAGTGTTTCTGCTCTGCATCAATATTACATGTCTGCTCCTGCAAAGAAGGGATTTTTTCCCGTATGGGAACGGCGACCACAGAAAGAGCAGTCATCCCAACCACAGACAACAAAAGTTAAAACCATTTCCCGATGTTTAGATGGAGGGAGGATTAACACGAGGAAGGAGAGAGAAGGGGCGTGAGCGGGTGGCGTTTTAACAGAGAGGTGGACTCGGTTAAAAATTTGACACCAAAGTAGCTGAACGTGCACAATTCCAAAATAACGAGGAAATGTAATTGACACAGAGTCTGGGGCTTCTTGAATAAAACCCAATGTTTTTAACTCCGGCAACTCATGGGCCACGGTGACCGGAAACCAATTAGATTATAAAGGTGGTAAGATGACACCCCTGAATGGAGTGTCGGGGGGTGATCTATCTAATGGAGGGCGATTTCTGCCCAAGCACCAGTCCATTAACAACCAATTAACTTCCTATTAATATTTTACCAGACAGGGCCTCTCATCCTGACATGTTTTAAGGAGCTTTTCCCAGGAGTGTTTGAACATGAGCAGCTTTTAGCGCGGTATAAAGAGGTCTGTGTAATGGGTTGAAGGAGGAGGAGTGGCAACCTGATAGCACTGAGAGCTAAAGGGAGGGAGGGGGGGGCAGAGGAGGGGAGACAGACTTCTGCAGCTGGTCCCGACTGGGCCGAGCCAAGCCTGGGTCGGGACGAGCGCACACGGGGTCTGCGGCGCTGGGAAAGCCAAGGTTCTTTCTGTCTCAGACGCGAGATCAGACATGAATAATGACCTTGCGCCTCTTGTTGAGCCTAAGTGTGTTTTGCTGGGTGAAGATATGAGTGTTGAGTGCTCCTGTTGTTTGCCCAGTAAAGGAATGAAAAGAAAAAGCGGTTTTGGCCAGCCGACCCCTAAAACGCTGCTCGGGCATCCTGGACTTCGTCATGAAAACGAGCACCCGGGGCAACCGATCTGCCCCGAACAAGCTTTGTGCTGCGTAAGGCTGGTGTACGTGGACATTCAAAACTAGTTCAGGGAAACTCCCTGCCTTTGAGAGTGAAAGAAGTAGAGAGAGGAAGGGAGGCTGAGGGAGAGAGAGGCCATTATGACTATAGCCTGCAGCTACTCCCAACGGATGAGGCATTTGTCTTCACTTGAAAGTATGATTTATTTTTCCACCCGTCGGAAGGGTTGCGTTTGTCACCGCTTAGTGAAAGGACTTTTGGAAATAGCTACGGCAGACATTGAAAAGGGAAGAAAAAAAAGTCCACTAGTTTCTAATGCAGTCTTAATGTTTTCCTCAAATACTTCCCCTCTATGGTTACCTTGTTTGGGATCACTTTCAGTCTTCATTAACTTTAGTTAATCATACTGAACCTTGGGTCTAATTTATCAGCTGGGGGCATGTGTGCGTTTGTGTGTGTGTGTGTGTGTTGATGATTAAGAGGAAGAGGGGAATGTGGGAAGGGGGATAAGATGTGGTTGTATCAGGTTCCCTCCACTGGGTGTAGATGTGGTCTTAGATTTCTCTCTGGGCTACTGATTAACTGTGTGCAAGCACGCACTCGCACACGCGCGTGTGTGTGTGTTTGCGTGTGTTTGTGTGTGGCTGAGCTGGAAGTGCACCGAGGAGAAGAAGAACTTCAGCTTTAATTTCCCCCAGCTCCAGATATTACACCCCCATGCGCTCTGTTTTTATTGGAACAGAGACCAAAAAACACCAAGTGTTTATGATGCATTAAAACATGCTGGGGAGCTGCAGAGTGGAATAGTAAATCTATACATTTGGCTCCGTCTCTCAGAGGCAGAATTAATTCTTTTAAAGAGGATTTGGTGTGTTTTACAAAGACTGATGACTGTAACGCGCCGTGAAATCATGTTTATCATCTTGATTTGGAGCACAGAGGGTAAAGAAAAATCTCCGTCAAGGGGAACCAGAGGAAAATGGAGGCAGGACTTGTGGAGGAGGGAAAAAAAAGTGTCAGGGGGTACATGGGGAGGAGTGGAGTTTGGGGCTGAGGCAGAGTGAAGGAATGATCCTGCATTACCCTAATGACCATTTGGACAAACGGATGGTTGAGGAAACCACATTACATTCTATTAACTCTGCTTTTGTTGTCAGTGAACTGTTAATGATGTACAAAGGGAGCTCTGCGGTACTCTCCTGGACAATGCAAGCTCTGTGCTTCTAATTATTCTCAGGAAAGCGCGGCAGCTTTTATACCTGGAGACACATTAGCTGACTGTAATTAGAGTAAATACTCTTCTGGTGCAACACCAGTATTGCCTCATCAGTCTAACAGCGATTATGTGTGCTTTTCTGCAGGGCTGTTCCTGCGTCCCCATCCCTTCTTTGTCTCTGTCTCGATCGCCGCCTTTGCCTTTTTCTTCTCTCTCTTTTCTTCCCCTGCGCTCCAATGTACTTCCTGTCCTTCTCTCCTCCCCGTTCTCTCCTTCCAAACCAGCAGCAGAGCACCAGCGCTGGCGCTGACAAAATTGCAGTGTCTGCCCATGCTCCAACCACCTTCCAAGTTCATTATATCTGTACACAAACAGACAGTCCATCCCTTGTAGCCCCCTCGTAGCCCCTCATAGTTCCCACGTCTTGGCCAAATGCAATGTGACAGCGCCGCCACAGCCCTCATTTACAGCCATCACAGGGCAGATTTCCCCTTCCAAGGCTCCCCGTCGGCAGCCTGATAGATGGCACCCCTGTTTTTGCTCGCGCATGCATGCAAGTATTGTTATTTTTGTTGTGTGTACACACGCAGCTGCACGCGCCTTTTTCATCCCTCCATCCGTCTG